ATATCATACAATATTTTGTCGAAAATCGTGTCCAAATATTTTTGCCAAAAACACCGTGGCAGACGCAGTTAGTAAATGTTTGCCGGTGTTTTTCTTTTTCAAAACAGGCAAAAAGTGTTAGAAATGAAAGAAAATGGAGCACGCTTTGGCCTCCAGGCTCGCGTGCGGCGTGCGTTTCTCACGCGTCTCGGCCGGGGGGAGGGACTCTAGCGACAATCACCGGGTGGCGGCCGTTCCGCTCCTTTTACTACAAAACGCTCAATAATTGTTGTCTATCTGTCGCAGATGGCGCCGATCACCCCGCTGCTGCTGCTGCTGCTGGCGGCCTGCGCCGCCGCTTCGCCCCAGTACAGCTACCACCTGGTGCACGACATCCACAACTCGTCAGGTAAGGGGCCTTCGGCGGGCGCCATACAAAAATCAATAATGGTGATGGCAATATGAATAAGTCCAACGACATGGAGTCATATCGAAGGTTGGTCCTCGTCATGGCGGATTCGACGGAGACGGGAAGTGATAACTCAGGCGCTGTGTGATGAGTAATAGACTGAAAAACTGCGTAATGTCGCATGTCGATCACTAAAATGATGACGCTCAGCTTTTCTGGAATATTTTCTGAGTGAGCTTTCAGATTGAATTTAAAATAAGATAGGAGTACAAATAACACTAAAAAAGGCGTTAACTTGCATGTTCTTAGAGTGGGTACATGGGAACGTTGTTTTGTCGAACGATAAAAGCTTTGTACTACTCCCTGTCATCAGCTTACAACTCCTATGTTGTAATTTTGCGTGATCGACAAATTTCTGTTTAGGAGAAAAAAGTTATCATAAATTCAAATTCAAAAAAGTTTCCGAAAAATCTCAAGAAAAAAACAAAAAAAAATCAGGAATCTGGGAAATTTTCCATTTTTTCCCAGAAATGTTTCGTTTTTTCTTGAGATTTTTCGGAAACTTTTCCAAGGACTTCCAACCCTATCTCCTCTAAGTGTGCAACATTCATACACTTCTCGTGCGTGCGCCGCGCGTGCGACCGGGTCTCCCAGTCCGTTTCAATGTCGTCCCGCCGAAGCCAAACTAGGTGCGGAGGGGGAGGCGGGAATTTCGAACGTAATTTCCTTTTGCTCAGCTGAGCCAAGGTGTTCGCACCGAGGCCATGGGGTTGGGCCGGGAGCAGCGGCTATAGCGCGGCTCCACATCGCCAATGGGATTTGTCTTCCTCGCGCAATTGGCCTATACACACACACTGTAAAAAATCCAGTTTAATTTTGTTCACCCATGTGTGGATAAATTTCTCCCTCTGGTATGTAATTCAGATTTACCTACCCACCGGGTGGGTAAAACGTTATTTAGCTCGATAGGGTGTAAATTTCTTATAATGTGGTGAGACAAAATTACTACTTGGGTAGTGAATTACCCTTTACACCCACACAGGTGAATTTTAACCGACTCTGGGTAAATTAATTTCACCTTGCTGGAGGGGATGTTCCTTTTCTACACCCACAGGGGTAAAACATCACCAGCACTGGGTGTATAATTCCGTGACCGTGGGCGGAGAAGTGTACTTGTGCAGTCCACTGCCTAAAAATCTCCACGCGGCGGGAAGGAATTTTGCCACACATGGTCAGGAAACATCTACCCGTGCTACACAACGGTTGCAAATTTCCCACAAATTTGTGAGTGCCATACACTCTAAATGTCAAGGGACAATTTTGTCCGTAGATTTGCAACGATTTCGTGCACATCCAGAAAGGATGCAATTTTGTTCCTAAAACTAGACAAAGTGTGTGAAACTTCACACAATTTGTCCAATTAAGGGAACAAAATTGCATCCTTTCTGGATGTGCACGAAATCGTTGCAAATCTACGGACAAAATTGCCCCTTTACATTTAGAGTGTAGCATCGTGGGAGGAGAGGTGGATTCGGCCTACTACTCCACCGACTCCACGCCACTCAGAACCAATCACCTCCTTTCTTTGCCCTCGGCCCCCTCGACGCGAAGCCCGCGATAGACTGCCGCTAGATGGCGTTTCAGTCAGCGCGTCTCCTACAAAATGAGCTTTTTCTATTTAATTAAAATTTCCCTGAGAAAATGGCTATTAATTTTACGCAGTATGTTTTACAAGGAATCACCCTAACCGGCAACGATCTGTGTTTGCCGAAAAAGTCAACCATATCCCAGAAATAATCCGTTAAACTCTAACGCTCCGGAGGTCCCCGCAACAACACCTTGTTCCGTACGGCCCCGTCACCTCGTCGGAGGGAGGTGCGCCTCCGCGCGTACCTCTAGTGCGGCGGTGACTTCACTTTTCGCTGCGATGGTCTGTTCTCTCTATGAGATTGATGATCAAATTTTTGAAAGTGGTTGCGGCAACCGTCTGAATTGGAAACAGTCCTGTCGGCCCGAAATCACCAGATAAAACTCGCTAAAGTGGCACGAGGCGGAGAACGGGTCACTCTTTTTCATTCACATATACTGCTCGACCTCTTGGGGAACATTTTCACCCTCCTGGGTGGGCGTTGTGGCATTCAGCGCATAGAGGATTGTTTTTTATCTAAAGGGTATGGAATTTCATTTTATCCTCGTGGCATGAAAATCGGTTATACCTACCCACGAGGACAAAATAGCACCCCTTGGGTAGAGAATTTCACCCACCCAGTGGTGGGTAAAATTTACACCGCTATGGGTATGTAAATTTATTTACCCTGGTGAGGTAAAGGAGCGTTGTGTCCCCTTCGAGGGTAAAATTACCCTCGAAATTTTTTACAGTGCACCTTATTATAGAACCATCTGACAGGTAAATTCGCAAATTTAAAGGATTAGCTTTTAAAAGGAAAATTTACGTATGACCTACTTCTAAAAGCGTGATAAATACTCCTCGCGGTCTTACGCCAGGCTGTAGCGCATCGGTTAAACGAAAACAAATTATCTTATATATAGTTCAGTAGCATGACAATTGTTTTTCTCATGATCATTTTATTGTAACCGGTTGTAACAAATGATTGCATTTAGCCATAATACTCTCGATTTAAGACATGTTTTCCCCCTACTTTGTAACCGGTTCCTAACCGTGCCTTAGTGGATGTCGGCCGCGTCGTTTAGATCCAGAGCTACGGAGAGTAATGACATCGTTCATAATATTAATACGGCCGAAGCGTAATAACGCGCGCTCCCCAATCGAGGAGAGCACGACCTTCTGTTCGGCTAGAATCGCTTCTATCCGGTCGCCGGGGCCAGGCCAGGCAGGTCGACACGGCAAGCCCGCGTCTAGTCTCTAGTTTGATTTAGAGAGATACCGATCTTGCCTCCATGACGTTGGCAAAAAGTGTCGCACACACACTGATCGTGAACCCTACCCCCTCCCGAATGGCGAGCGACGACGGCCTGCCCGTCTGTCGGTTTGCTCCAAGGCCCAAATCGGTTTCCATCCGGATCGCTCGTGTCGAGGAGTGGGCTGCCGCGTCGGTAACCGGTCTCTCTCACGACCGCGCCCCAGATATAATCGCAAATAATCCGGTTGTGATCCGGTCCCTCGGAGGCGTGGCGGGGCGGGGCGGGGCGATGCGGGGCGATGCGGGGCCGCATGCTGCGGTGGTCAGCCGCAGGGCAGAGACGGTCGGGAGGGGGTAGGGAATGGGGGGCGCAGGG